CAGATACATCGAGATCGCTCTCGGGGTATTCTTGGATTATCACAAAAGAGCTATATCGATAAGGTACTTAAAAGGTTTGGCATGCAAGATTGCAGACCAGGTGACACCCCTGTTGCTAAAGGAGACAAGTTTAGTCTCAATCAGTGCCCTAAAGGTAACCTTGAAATTCAGGAAATGCAGAAGATTCCTTATGCTTCGGCTGTAGGAAGTCTAATGTATGCTCAGGTATGTACGCGTCCGGATATTGCGTACATTGTTGGGATGTTAGGCAGATACTTAAGCAACCCTGGTATGGATCATTGGATAGCAGTCAAAAGGGTTATGAGGTATCTTCAGAAAACAAAAGATTACATGCTCACATACAGAAAATCAGAGAAATTAGAGGTCATGTACATTGTTGGGATGTTAGACAAATACTTAAGCAACCCTGGTATGGATCATTGGATAGCAGTCAAAAGGGTTATGAGGTATCTTCAGAAAACAAAAGATTATATTCTCACATACAGAAAATCAGAACAATTAGAGGTCATTGGGTATTCGGACTCTGATTTTGCTGGATGCCAAGATAGCAGAAAGTCTATATCAGCCTACATTTATATGTTAGCAGGAGGAGCTATATCATGGAAAAGTGTTAAACAGACACTCGTAGCTTCCTCCACTATGACAGCAGAATTTGTAGCTTGCTATGAGACATCCAATCAGGGAATATGGTTGCGAAACTTTGTCACGGGACTGCGCATTTTGAAAAATATGGAAAGACCACTAAGGTTATATTGTGACAATAAATCTACAGTAATGTATTCCAATAACAACAGGAGCTCAACTAAGTCAAAACATATTGATATTAAGTTCCTGGTTGTGAAAGAAAGGGTACAGAGTGGACAGATATCCATAGAGCACATTGGGACAAACTCCATGATAGCTGATCCTCTTACTAAGGGATTGCCACCTAAGGTCTTTCATGAGCATACTGCTCATATGGGTGTGGTATTATTTGAGGATATTATGTTTTAGTGGGAGTTTGTATTTGTGGTGCTTTATGTTTGGTTGTATTGTCTGATCAGAATAAAGTATTCAGTTAAGACACTCTGTTACATTATGTTTGGTTTTGACCTCACTAAGGAGGACCAGTTGAAAATAGACATGTACTGATCACATTGCATGTAATTTTCATGCTGCACATCCATGATTGATCTATGTCGTTTGATTGTATTGGTATATGTGACCATTGATGGGTCGAGTCACGATAAATGTGACGAAGGCCGCTTTGATCCTATATTGATATAGTCAATGGACGAGATTGTCGGAAATACCTTTTCAGTGATAGTAATTTTTTGAGCTCATAAGGTTATACACAATTTAAGGAATCATATGGTGCCCAAGTGGGAGATTGTTGGATTTAATCTAATAAATCTATTTGTGGGCACATATGATTAATCAATGTGTATTGCTATCTTTCAGGATAACCCACTAAAGTGATCAATTAACTTGGGTTAATGGGTATTTAAATAAATCATGGGGTTATATGTGCAGATACTATGTTATAATTGTGATTTGTTGAGGGATCAAATTACAAATGTACAACATCTATAAATAAGGGGTTATGGTCCCTAATCTAGGGTTACATTCTCTAATTCTCTTCACCCCCATCTTGAGAGAAAATTCGGCTATAGAGAAAACCCTAAGGTTAGAAGATCCAAAACCCATCTCAAGTTTTCTTCAATGGCTTTATGGTTTTAGATCTCAATTTTTTATTTAGATCTAACACGCCCTCCTAAGTATGGACTGTGTTCCTTACTTGCCTCCTGAGCTATTTTGAGTCTCGTCTTACTCTCTAGACTATTACTTCTCTATTGAAATCTATTGCCCCAAAGTAATAAACATGAAGGGATAACTATGTATTTAATTTAGCTGTTCAAAGGGTAAGCGTAGATGAATTCAATAATTTAGAGGGTGTGGTGAGGCCTAAAATCGTTCATTTGGTTTATAGAATTTTTGAAACTGAAATAACCAAATTGACCATTCTCAGTGGAGTTGTCTAAAACTCACACACTCCTCCTAGGTAAATACTAATTCAAATTAATATTTTTACTTATATTAATTGATAAAATTTGATTTTAGTTTGTAAAGTTATTGATTCGACAAGTTTGCTCTTCAACTTGATATATGAGATGAATGAATGGTGTGAAGGGGCAATAGTCTTGTTTTTTATCTAAAATTTTCAAACTTAATATATCTAGGCTCAAATAGAATTGAACCACACCGAACTAATTTTGATTCTGTTCGATTTGGTTTTGAATTTAGTTCAGTTCGGCTTGACAAAAACTAGTCAAAACTGACCATTTCCTCAACCTTAGGAGAAACAAATTCAATATATAGTTTTTAAGGGACTCATGTAAGGAATAAAAATAGTTCAAGAGATAAGAAGCGACAAACTTAATAGTGTAGAAGGTAAGTAGGGTCAGTAGCTTGTTTATTTATATAATGAATCTCTTACATTATATTATTACTTAACATGAAAATTAAATTCCATGTTATATGGATCGTGTATATCCGATCTTTTTAGGGTTGACATTACAACTTAGTTTGGTAGGAGGGATGGTGATGTGAGGGAATGGATAAAAATTAGATTTGCTTTTAATAGGAGATTTTTAGAAGGGGAGGTAGAGTGAGTGGAGGGGTATAGAGGATGGGGACGCAACAAAATGAATTAAGAAGTTAGAGAGAAGCATTCCTTCAAATTGATAGCACATAAAAAAGAGAGAAAATAAACTATAAAAATATGCATCTCTCTTCTCATCCCTTCCAACTAAACGTAAAAGTTTAAAAAAATGTCCATCCCTCGACCTTATTGCACCTCCCCTCACCTTCAGCTTCCCTCCTTAAATCCTCCATAAAAGTAGCTTACAAAAATAAAATCCTTTTAGGGCGTGTTTGGTTCACCCTAAATTATTGGAAACATTTTGTTTTTTAGGATTTGGAACAAAAAATAGGTTTTTTGCCATTTTAGAATTTAAAAGTTGGGTTTGTTTCAATTTTGTCAAGAAAATGTTTCTTAAAAAGCCTCTAAATAGTGATTTTTTTGGACAACTCATTTCCTATTTTTTGGCTAGGAAATGAGGTAGAAAACTGACAACGAGCTGACAACTCACAATTTCTCTCACAACTCTTCTTATTCTGTTCGTTTGCCTTAAAAAAATGGGAAATCAAAGAAATAGAAAACTATTTCTAAGAAGAATTGTTTTGTCTGTTCGTTTGCCTTAAAAAAATGGGAAATCAAAGAAATAGAAAACTATTTCTAAGAAGAATTGTTTTGGGAGTGTTTGGTTTGCTAAAAAAAGAAGGAAATCAAAGAAATGGAGATGAAATGATGTTAGTTATCACATTATTATTGGATGATGTGAATGATTTTTTAAGAAAACTAGTTTTGATGTTGTTTGATTGGCGAAAAAAATAAGGAAATGAATTATAAGAAACCTATTTCCTGTAGTTTGTTAATTTCTTTTGTTTGGTTCATTCTTAAAAATAAGAAATGAAATGAGATGAGATGAGTTGTCATTGTATTATTGGGTGGTGTGACCCACACTTAAGAAAAGTGTTTTCACAACTTTTTGGGATGAAAACAAAGAAATGAAATGTTAATGAGATGAGGTGAATTATTATAATATTTTATTGGATGATATGAGTGATTTGAAATGATGAGAAGATATGAGTTGAGTGATGTTTGGATGAAAATAATATTTTATTAGATGTGATGGATGAGTTGTTAGATGAAAATAATATTTTATTAGATGTGATGGATGAGTGGTTAGATAAAAATAATATTTTATTAGATGATGTGGATGAGTTGTTGGATGAAAATAATATTTTATTGGATGTTGTGGGTGAGTTTTAGGGATGGAAATGGAGGAAATAGTACTTTTTGAGATTTTCACCTTTTCCATTTCCATTTCTTGGTTTTTAGGAAATAACCGAACAGACCCTTATTTGAAAATGAAACAAACTTGAGTTTTGGATATGTTTTCCTATTATTTACTTTATCATTCCATATTAAACACAAGTTTTGAATTCCTTAGATATCCTAAAAAAGAATTTTAATTTGATTTCTTGTTAGAGAATTCATTTCCATAATTTTATGGAAATGAACCAAACAACCCCTGTTGTTTGGCTACTTCCCCATAAAAAGGGAAATGGAAACGTCACTTGTGAAATGATTTCAGTCCATTTCAACACATTTCTCACATTTCTTTTTTTTATTTTTTGCAAAGAAAACCATTTTCACTGTCAAATCACACAAAAAACAAACAAAGCCACTATAGTAACAGTAGTATTGATTTCTATTTCATGTGTTTGTTTGAGAACAAGAAAAAAGGAAATGAGAAATCAGGAATTTAAATATTATGTTTTATTCTTCTTCACTATTCCAACAGTGCTTTTATTAATTAATAATTCTCTGAAGTGACATTTTCCAGTGTTTTCATAGGTTTTTGTTGTGAAAACACATTTCTTGAAAATGTGAGGTGACATCCTACGTGGCACTTCATTTCTTAAAATTTAAAAACGAAATAAACATGAGAAATGGAAAACTCTTGAAAACAAAAACCTATGTGACACATGGGGGTTTTCTTGAAATGTGAGGTGGCAGGACATTTCTGATTTTTTTTGAGCAAACGAACAGACCATAAGAGGAAGCAATCTCTCGTGCTCAATCTGGACTTAGGGGACTTTTCACATATCCGGATAGCCCTTTTGCATTTTCTTTATCTTACACAACTCCTTCAACTTTGAGTTGTTTCACAAAACCCATTTGAACTTTGACTTTTCTCATCAAGCTCTCCTATATTTAGTTTGCAAATAAATAAAGTATTTTTGGAGAGAGGAAAAAATCCAAAATTTTGGAAGGACATGCGTTGTCTATATATTACTACAAATGATCAAATCTGAACTTTTTTTTCATCTCAAGAACATTTTAGTTATTTATAAATTACAGATTTGGGGTTCCAGTAAGAAAGGTTGAAAAAGTTCAACAGGGATTGGGAAGACGCTCCAAAGTTTAGAGCGTTATGGGGAGCAGACCAAGTTCAGGGGGTTATAAGCAACATGCAGAAAGATCAGGGAGTTAGGTGAAGTTAACCCCTTCCTCGCGTCTACTCTTTTCTCAATCGAGGCGGCGGCAAACTCTTAAAAAAAACGCAGAGCTAGAAGTTATTTGCTAACAAAAATATTCAAAAATTTCAAACCCTAATTAAAACACAAAGTAGGAAGAAGAAGACCCGATGAGGTTCGCGGTTTCGTCGTCGTCGAAAGCCTGCAGCGGCAACGGCAGAGCTCGCGCGGGCGTTCTCTACCCCGGCAGCGGCGGCGCCAGCGCCTCGATCGAGACTCCATCTCTTTTGATCTCGACTCGCAAGGGTTTGCCCACTTTCATGTCTAGGGACCTAATGGCCTCCCTCCCTCTCCCTCACTCTCGCCTCCTCCACGTCAGCCCCCTCAACTTGTGAGTTTCTCTTTCTCCGTTACTTGTGCATGGCACCTGTTCGATGAAATGCCCCTGAGAGAGTTTCCTCCTTTTTTTTAAGGGGTTCTTCTCTGACCCCACAGTTATATCCGGATGGGTTGTATGCAGTTTTTGATACCCAAAGTGTACACCAGTTTTTAACCCTAATACCCTGAAGTTTTTCCCATACACTTTGATACCTCAAAAGTTTACACCTTTTTGTCCCTTTAATACCTCAAAGTTTCTTTCCCGCACTTAAATTACCAAAAGTTTACGTCTTTGTGAACTTTGATCGCCCAAGCTTTGTTTTTGACACTTCGATACCCGCAAAGTTTGGGGTAACAAAATTTAAAATGTGTAAACTTTGGGGTATCAAAGTAAAAAAATGCGTAAACTTTGGGGGTATCCAAGTGGACGTGAACCTTTGTTTTTTAACCCATAGGTTACTTGTACTATAGTACCCCTAAGTTTTACCTTTTTTCAAACTTTGATATCCAAGAGATTTGAGGTTTCAAAATGTCAAATAGAACTTCAAGGTATGAAAGTAGTAAAAAGGCGAAATTTTGAGGTATTAAAATGCAAATATGAACATAAGTATAGCTACTGTTACACCAGCCACTTCCAAAATCAGTTTTAGCCTAAAATATCCACACTGAATTATGTTTAAACCTAAACTATAGAATCTCAGACCCAAATATAGCTACGACACCAATTATAGCGACTTCAACATCGGTTCATCAAATGAGATAGAAACTGGGTTTAAGTTATTTAATGTGGATATTTTGCATATAAGAATGGTTTTGGAATTGAGTGGGGTTTAAATTGCTGCAATTTTAGTGTTTATGAACAAAAAAACCCTTTTCTTTATGGTTTTGTAGAGATTTGGTCATGGTGAAGATCTTTCATGCAAGGTTACAAGGTTACAGAAGGCGCTAGGCGACCTAGGCGTCGGACCCAGTGCCTAGGTCTAGACGCCTAGGCATCAGACCCAGTGCCTAGGTCTAGACGCCTAGGCGTCGGACCCAGTGCGTAGGTCTAGACGCCTAGGCGGGGCCTAAGCATTTTCTTTTTTTCAAAATTTGTAATTATAATCAATGTTATTAAAAGCGCTAGGCACGGCTAGGTGCCAAATTGGTACCTAGCGCCTATGCGCTAGGCCCAGGAGCATTTCTTTTTTTGTTTAAGTAGTGACGGAGGAGGTTTTTCTAAAGGTTGAAGGAGTTGTAGGAGGTGTTTGTAGTCGGCAAAGGAGGCCAAAAGAGTTTGGAGGAGGTTAAAGAATGTCAATGCAGCAACAGAGAAAATCACGACCAAGACCTAGCGGTGCAATCCACATAAATTGTCTCCGCTCATCTAGGCACTCTCAAGACTTGGGCGGGTAGAGCCTAGGCGGTCTAGGTGCCACCTAGGCCGAGGCGGAAGCCTAGGCAGGCTAGGCGAGAGCTTTTTAAAACATTGATTTTATATGTGACTGAGCTGTAGATTTGTTTGACTTTCTTTCAAAAGATACTAAATGTCTTACTATTATCAAAATGCATGCGTGCATGAGCGTCAGTTGCGAATTACTCAATTTCACTTAAATGCAATGTCTTGTTATCGCGCTTCAGTCCTTAGCTTTTTGGTAGCTATATTCATCTCTAATGTACAGATTGAAGATTTGAAGACAAAAGGAAGCTATTTAACGGAAAGTACAAAAATAACCTATTTTCCTCCAATAATCTGTTTAAGAAAAATCCATTTGGAGAGTTAATAATCATGTATATTTATCTAATTTTATTTGAAAATGGCGAGCTTAATGTATAATACACACTCATATTTGTGATTGTAAAAATTTGAAGCTTTTAGTGATAACTTGCTGCAAGTTTAACTCAATCGGCACAAATGCATTGTCTTGCTGGAGTGTTTCAATTCTTAGCTTTTGGCTATATTGTTATTCGTCTCTAAGTTTACAGACCGCAGGACAAAAGAAAAACTAGTTTGTAACAGAAAGTACCTATGTAATATTTGATTATACTGAAGGGTAACTTTACCTCAAGCCTTTAGTTTAGAATTGTTTGTTTACTGTAGTGTTGAATGCCCATCAATGAAGACTATTTCCAGTATTGGAGGGTTACACCAGATGTTAGGACTTCAAGATTTTTTCTTTGTAGCTTCTGCAAGAGATTCAGTTCAAAGTCTTCCAGAAAGTGGAGCGACAAATAAGCTCGGAGCTTCCTTTGAAACACCCAGTGGCCGTCGTCTGGTATTGTTGTGATATTTATTTGGATATTAATTATGCTATTGTTATCTATGTTTCATTTTCTAATGTCGTCTCATCAGGTAAAACCTTCAGATTACATGGAGATGATTTGTTCCTTGAAACCCAACTTGTGGGCTAGTTTGGCAGATGAGGTGCCTGCTTGGGTTTCAGAGAAGAGAAATAAGGCTTCTGTAGATCGAACCATCCGCTGGCTTGATGATTGTCTTTCTTTAGACGAGGTTTGTAAGACTGGATTATCATTTATGTTGACAATTCTTACTTTTATAGGATATAATGCAATTAAAGGATGATTATAGAGGATCATTTTTGCCTTGTTTTGGTTACATTGCATGTTATTGAAATTGCCTTTTTTTTATGCCGTTATTTGCAATTTTGCATTGAAAACTGGCTTATAATACTTTTATTCCTGAAAGTTTGATTTGTAGGTAGTTCAATGATATGAGATTTTCCCCTACATTATGTAGGGGTGGGCGTGGGTCGGGCCGGTTTAGGCTCGTGACCCGGCCCGTTGGGTTCAAGGCCGGGTTGGGCCTGACCCGGGCCCGGTAGGGTCAGAGTTGGTTGGGCCTACTTCTCTGATCTCGTGTTTAAGTCTGGATCCGGCCTAACCCACGACCCGCCTAGGTGCG